CGCGTGGGTTTTGGTAACGGTACGGTTCACGGTACGAAAGCACGCAAATGTGATATGGATCACGCGGCACTGGCAACTGAACCGAGAACCATTAATATGAACCTGTGGAACAGTATGATAGGAAACCGCTCTGGGCACGAGTCTACAAGAACACAGTTTCCTACAGTGAGATATACAATCATGGCATTACACTGTATAGCCGAAATGACTGCGCCGATTTGCTCGGTAGATGTACCGGTACAAGGCAATACTGGGGGGGGGGGGGGGGGGGGGGGGTCGGATCAGTGGAACCGCAGCGACATGGAGTGTATCTTTGCCCATTATGAACAGCTAGTAGCAGAGCTAGAGGTCAACAATACTAGACTATCATGATGATTGTAGGTGATTGTACGTATGATACTAATACTATCGCAGTATTTACCTGTGCACTGCTTCCATGGCTTCCAGGATCGAGCACATTCAATACTGTCGTGCGCGACAGTGGTGTCCGGTCAAATGTCTGTAATTATTTTCAAAAATGCAAAACAAAAAAGAATCAAAATTTGACAGAAAGTGTCGATTTGAAATAATTATAGTGTTGACTCTATCTATATGCATGGTCGGGGCATTCTTTCCAGTGAATTGTGCTGCTTGTCATTCTTCTTTGGCACACATTCTCTATTTGATTGGTTCATCAACCGATCGCCTTCAACGTGTAGAAGAACTGATGGTCCGTGACTGCTTTCCAGGATCGTAAGGCGAAGTGCGTCAGGGCGTCAGGGAAGCTTTTGAGTGTTTCTTGGGATATCTGCCATCGCCAGGAGTACTTTGGTTGCCGTCTGGTCTCGTGTGTTATGATACTCCCGAACAATTCTAAGAGGACTTTACGACGTAGCCTGATCTTAGTGGAGACCCGTGAGGGCACCTGTCCTCCTGAAAAATAATTATTTGAGTATTTGAATACTAGTAGGCCACGAGCTTGCATTGTGGATACTGGCTGCGCGCAAACACCGTGTATAACAGTGTTATTTCTTTGCAATGGCTGTACAATGCAGTGATGTTTGTGCCAGCACACTTCATGACCGGCCAGACCTGCTGATGGCGGCATGCGAGCTGTTGAACAGCGAGTGGGCGCGTGGACTGTCTGCTCGTCAGCACAGTATAAAGCGATCGTCGACGAGCTGCCGTGCAGCTTGCTGCTTCTGGCCGGTGCGGACGGAGGAGAGAAGGTGGTCGGGTTTGCACGACTGTCGCGTGTGCTGGGAGCTGGCGACGGCATGCTTGTCGAGTCCGTCGTGGTCGACAAGACGCTCCGGGGCCGCGGCCTGGGCCGTGCCGTGATGGAGGCGGCAGAACGCTTTGCCGCGACGCACGGTTTCACAACAGTGTACCTATCGACGCACGACAAAAAGGCATTCTATGCTCACCTGGGCTATCGGCAGTGCGGTCCTGTGGCCCTTCAGCCGATGTCAACACAGAATATGTCAGAGTCGCAGATGGGATCTCTTACAGCTCTGTTCGGTATTGCAACACAGCAGCCGAAACCATCAGAGCAAGTTGCTCCCACTACTGGCACTAGTGCCAGTAGTGAGGCAGGCGATTCAGCGATTTTGCCATCGGGTGGTACCAGCGGCTGTGCAGCTGATGATGCGGAGTCGGTACCGGCACCTCACCATCTGGACCTCCGCGCCACCACCACCGCCACCACCTCCAACGGCCACATCCGCCAAAGAGCCAGAACTGCCAATTGTCTGGATGAAGAAGCAGCTGCCAGTATCCTGAAACGCTGGCTACCATTGTGTCGAGGTCAATGTAAGCAATACATTACATTCATCAATGATGCTGATACAGGCCAAACCCCGTGAGCGCTCCGAAGCACATCTTCACCAAAGTCACAGTGGCACAGGAACAACTCTCCACAATCCACTTGCTGCATGCATAAGCCACATGTCTGTGTGACTCAGCAGTCGAACAGCGGTGCAGGAACTCGGCGATCAATTGTGCATCTGCATTTTGTAAGGTGATTTGCGCAATGGAAGCACGTTTCTAGGTCCTGGTTACGCCAAGACCGAGTCGCATTGCCGTGCGCCTGCTGAGACAGGCCCATCAGTGAAGACTGAGAAGCAGCGAGAGAATATTTCCGTGGTGCTTGTATGTGCTGATCTCTGTCTGCCGGTGTGCTGGCTGCAGCCGCGGTGGACTGGACAGAGCCGCAGCCGCGGTGGACTGGACAGAGCCACCATGCTTGGTTTGATACTAGCCAAGCTTTGGCGGAGCACAACGTGCCGGGCTGTGCTGCAAATGTCTGATTCGGCTTGCGACTGCTGAAATGACGCCTCATGCTTTGGCGCACTGTTTAGAATCAGCTCATCACAAGTAACGTTGAATGCCGCTTGGTACAGCTTAGCTGGTGAGTGCTGCTTAGCTGGTGAGTGCTGCTTAGCTGGTGAGTGCTGCTTAGCTGGCGAGTGCTGCTTACGTGCTGGTGAGTGCTGCTTTGCTGGTGAGTGCTGCTTAGCTGGTGAGTGCTGCTTAGCTGGTGAGTGCTGCTTAGCTGGCGAGTGCTGCTTACGTGCTGGTGAGTGCTGCTTTGCTGGTGAGTGCTGCTTAGCTGGTGAGTGCTGCTTAGCTGGTGAGTGCTGCTTAGCTGGCGAGTGCTGCTTAGCTGGTGAGTGCTGCTTACGTGCTGGTGGTGTGGTGTTCTTCAGCAGACTGTACTCTGCTGACATTCTGTGTCGGTGCACGGCATGGGAGATGGGAAATCCAGCTGGGCATGCACCAGCGTCGAGTTCTCGGAGGCAGGTTGTAGAATATGTCGTGTGCCCTGTGCATGGAGTTGCTGGACTATCATGGACAAATTCGGCTGACTGCAGCGTCACCTTCTTCCTTTGCACATAAACCAATTAACCGTGTGCTTGTTCCGAGCACTGTCGATGCTGTGAGCAGAACTGTCAGACCTGAAGCTCAGTGATTTTTACATTACATGTACATGCCTTAGTTCGTTTTTTCTATCCTTAGCTCAATTTTTTCCCTGTTGCTGTTTATTTCACTGCATGGGATACTGTGCTGGTGTGCGCTCTCAGAGTGCCTACTGATGCAGTATCTATGTCCGTGGCCAAGCGTGCTGTTTCCTGCTCCGCCACGCACCAGTGTCTCTGTGTGCAGACTGGAAAACTGTTGGTCGTGTCCTGGATCGTACAAGGGAGATTACAGTCCTCTTTTAAAACTCAGCTTGACCAACCCAACTGTGCGTTACCGAAGAGTAGAGAGGTGGGACATGAAGTCTAACCATAGTCTTCGGCCCATTCATACTTGTGTACGAAGAGAGAGAGAGAGAGAGAGAGAGAGAGAGAGAGAGAGAGAGAGAGAGAGAGAGAGAGAGAGAGAGAGAGAGAGAGAGAGAGAGAGAGAGAGAGAGAGAGAGAGAGAGAGAGAGAGAGAGAGAGAGAGAGAGAGAGAGAGAGAGAGAGAGAGAGAGAGAGAGAGAGAGAGAGAGAGAGAGAGAGAGAGAGAGAGAGAGAGAGAGAGCGAGAGAGAGAGAGAGAGAGGGAGGGAGGGAGGGAGGGAGAGAGAGAGAGAGAGAGAGAGAGAGGGAGGGAGGGAGGGAGGGAGGGAGAGAGAGAGAGAGAGAGAGGGGGGGGGGGGGGGGAGAGGGAGGGAGAGAGAGTGAGAGAGAGAGAGAGCTGCATGTGGTGTCTTCATATTTTCGTAATCATTCTTCTTCGTGATTTTGCCCTACTTGCATTCGCAGGGGCTCGGAGCGGGCGGAATCGCAACACATACATGTACATGTAGCTGCAGGCGACCTTTATAACCCGGTAAATAAAAAGAATAGACATGGTTAGCATTTCACCGTTCACGCTAAATTCAACGGTACTCGCACCCACCACCCAAGATAGGGTTTGGTTTCGACGATAGACAGCTCTGTTTAGCGGGAGAACGGAACGGTAAGATTCCAACTCAGGTTACGTCACAAGTCGATCGTTGTGTGAAAAACTGAAATATTAACCACGTCTTGAAAACACACAAAAAACGTTACCATGGTTACAGGCCGACGGTAGCATGCAGGGAGCTGCGGAGCGTGTAAAGACTTTTTACGTGAGTAAAGACTTTTTATGCGTGGTGAACTGCGCCGACACCCACGGTCAACCATGGTCAACTGGGTACTCACAGCTCGGAGTGAGGGTAACAAGGATGCAGTTTACAGGGTTATGGGCCGTTACACGCCCGATTGGTTGAGAGACTCACCTACTCTCCCCTGACTCACTTGTGAGGTCTGCATTCGCCACTAAGGTGTGCAAGGCATAGGCATAGTGGTGGCCTGCGGAAGCGAAGGCTAGTTTGTGTGTTTCTGAACATTCAAGCGATGCCAACGCGAATCCCGCGAATTATTATTATTATTATTAGGCCGACGGTCGAAGTTAGCATGAACGGTAAAATGCTAACCATGTCGAGTCTAATAATTTGATTTTCATCTACGTTTCTAAGAGAGCTCATCACGACGGCTAACACTCGGAATATCTCTACATGTATTTCCAACAGTGCATCATCGCATTCGCCCATCAGTTCTTATAATACTGTAATGAGATAGTTTCAAGTTACAGAAACTTTTAACAACGTGCTTACTTCCAGTCTCATCCAATGATTAATCTGTACATAGTCATTACAATGTAATGTTGACGTGAGGATAGTAAAGTCGCAGCAGATAACCGTTTGATAGATATGGCAAAGGTAGTCTCAGGGCTCTCCTCGCTGCTCTTTTACTACTATTACTAGTATTAGGCCGAGGAGAATGGTCCAACACAGGCGTGGGGTCGCCATTGACTGTGTACCTTGCGACCGTTTGCAGCTTGAGTAAGAGGGTGAGTATGCAACGGTGAGGCCAGGTGAAATCCAGCTTTACACAGCTTGAAAACCTGAGATCCAAGGCAAGGAGTAGATATCTACTGCTTGATGTGTGTACACCGATGCTTGGTGAAATCCAACCGTACACCACTCGTAAAGCAGGAATCCAAGGATCTAGGAGGGGGTTTCCAATGTTCACCGGGCACCATTAATGGCATTATCATAATAACTACTATGAACTAGTACTGTAGGATCCACTGTACATCTTTTGTACTTGTCTTGGGGTGAAATCTGCATGGCCATGTATGACTACAAGCCGCTCTATGTACCAACCCAAACACAGCTACAATGGCCCAAATACTAGTATTCAACTGTCTGAATCATACATGTACATGTGAATTCAAAAAGTGGCAGATTAACCACTCCAATCTATGACCATTAGCTGACCCGTGAGACTTGTATCAATGTATATTGATGTGGTATGACAGTTGAAGGCTTCACCAGTGGTAAAGCGATGCCCTACCGTTAGGCGCTGCATCTGCCGCTAGGGTTTATCGGGTGTTAGCGGCCGTCGTGAGTTCCCTTCGGGAACGGATACGATAATTTACTTTTTTTTTTTTTTAAAGCGATGCCCTATCAAGGCAGTGTTCGGAAGAAGTGCTACTTGTAGAATTAGGCATCAAAACACTTGCATAACATTCGATTTGACGGCGTTATGCTACATTGCAATGCCTACATGTGTGTCAGGAGATAAGCAGTATAGCTGGAAAATGGAACAAATCTGAGCATTTGATAGAGGTTGATAATGATCTGACGCTGCCAGCAAAACATCAGCTTTTCATTTTACTAACGTTACGCACGTCCTCGGAATAATTGAGATGAAAAATGCATGAAAGGTGCTTGGTAGGCTCCGGAAATAGACAGCGGATTACGCAATAAATTCGTCATTATTGGATGGTCTTCGAGTCTCAAGTAAGCACTGGATGTGATGGCGATTTTTGACTAAGGATACTAGTAGTGGTTTCAGACAGAAACTTGCTTTCTTCTACTATTGCAATAATAATAATTATTATTTTAATACGCATGTGGTAGACAGACTGTTGCTCAATCAGTCAATGTTCAATTCAACTCCGTGGGAAGTGTGTAATCGTTTGAAAAGGACACAGAAGTCCCAGCACTTGCATCATCGTTGTACTTTACCACCTCGCGGCTTTGCTTTGGTCTAGTACTCGTCTGCAGAGGCGTCGCTGTCTGAGTCTAGCCACAGCGTAGCGAACGGCAAGCTATGTTGCGCCGCTGGGTGATTCCGGTGCACGCGCTGCAGATGCTCGTAGGCGCTGATGGTCGAATCGCGCGGCCGAGCCTGGCACCTACACGGCCCGTCAGACTCCCATGAGCCCGTCGAGCCGATGCTAGTGCAGGACGAGCGTCCGCACGTACGATTAGGTCGCCCTGAACCTCCCGGTGCAACCTCCGTGATTTGGCGCAATACACTTCTCCTGGCGTGGCTCGTCGATGACGTCAGACTGGACGTGGACGATGAGGCAGACGATGAAGAGAATCTGGAGCGGGAATTGTAGGCGGGAAGAGCAACCGGGTGATCTGCTACTCCGTCGAGCTGGATTGTGTCCAGAGTGGCCCAGTACAGTTCACTCGGGCGCCTGCCGTGGCGGTATTGCGGCGCCATGGACGGACTCTGCGAGATGCGGCGCTGCCGCTCCAGCTCCTGCTCCCTGCGAGGGTTCGTCCGCCGCCGACGCGGATCGCCGACAGACATGGGAGCGTTGGATATGTTCTGAAAGTGTACTCTTGATGCTTGAGTACCCATGGCAATGGTTTTCTCACCTTAGAGTAGACGATAGCAACAACAGCAGCAGCAGTAACAAGCCAGGAAGACTCAGTCTGGAGTAGGGCTGCTGGACGTGGAAGACGAACTGGTCATCAACTGGAGTGGCGAGTCGAAGCGCCACAGGAACGCTTTTATGGGGTCCGCGACACCGAGTATTGCCTGCCTCTTGGG